TTATATTTATTGAATAAATAACATGACCTTTGAAAAACAAATCACCATTGCCTCTTTCGCCTGACTTCATACACCTCAGAACTGTACTAATTTGTACGTTTCTAGGAACTTTAGCATACCACATTGGCCCTGTCCATTTAAAGTGCCTTCCTGTTACTAGTTCACCATCTTTATCTTTCTCCTGAGATAAAAATGATATATGACAATATAATTAAAATTATATTATTTAAGTTATAAATATATATAAAGAGTGATTATTAAACCTTTTTGAATTAAAAAAAAATATTTCAATTAATTAGCATATTATACCTACATAAATTTGATAAAAATGTTAATTGAATTGATACATTATAAATAATAAGAAATCTTGTTTATTAATTTTAGTAATTAAGATAAACTATAATCTGTTATAAAAGAATCAGATTCATATTTTCTACAAAGAATTTATACTATTTATTTTTTTATAATTCTGTATTTATTTTTTTATTTCTTTGGATTTATTTTAATTCATTTATCCAGTTAAATTTTTTATATTCTAACACATAATTATTAATCTCATTTTTTAAATATAATTTTTGTTAAATAATTTTATTAAGTTTATTAAACATTTCTATTCTTTGTTATTTTTATTGAAATAAATTATTTTTATTTTGAAGCTTATTTATTTTTGAAAATTTTGAAATACTTACTATAAAAAAATAAATATGCTATTAATGAAATATAAAAGGGGTTCATAAAATCTTTGTAAATATTGAATCTAAAATATTCAAAATGAGATTTAGATACTTTAATTTTACTTTTTATGAATATATGGATATATTATTTTTAAAAATTATAGAAAATATGCATCAAGATAATAATAATTCAATTTAATATATTATTTTTCAATTAAAATTTAATTATAATACTGCTACAATCTATTTCTATAATATTTTCTTGTAGCTTGCTTAGAGTTCCTTTCAACTCTTGTGTTATATTTGGTCCTGTATTTAGCATAATTTATTTTAAATTTTATTTTGCAAAAAGATTTTTAAGAATGTTCATAATAAGTCATTCATTATATATTAAGTCTTTATTTTATTTAACTGATAATTTTCATAAATTATGGCCTAATATGCTTTCATCAAAGTCTTTTATAATTTAAATACCCTTCCTTATATTTTTTTAAATACAGCAACATAAAGAAAAATAGCAATTTTAAATCTAGCAAGTATTTATTATTTATCAATTTTAACATCATTCAACACTTGATCCATATTATAAAACTTCTTCCTAGAATTATTTCTTTAATATTTACTTTATTATCATTTTTTCCTCTAATTTTTTTTGCTTTGATATTGATTTTTTTTAACTTTTCTAAAACTTGTTTTTTAAAAAGAACTCCTTTAATTATAAACAAAATTTTTGCTTTGTTTATTTTTAAATAATTAAATATTCTTTTTACTGAACTTTGATATGTTATTTTATTCTTATATTAAAGTTTAGTTTCTTTGTTATTGAAGGATTAAATTTGTCAATTATGGATACTTCTTTTTATTGTTTTAAGCAGCTGTGCATATGACATATTCTCAATAATTACTATGAATCTTATTGATTTTTTTAGTTTTATTATTATAACTTCATTTTCATTTTATAGTTAAATCTTCAAAACTATTTTTAAAATTTTAATAAACTAATGATTATCAATGTTACATTTTTTTATTATGTGATCTTACAAGTCATTTTGTAAACTGTTCTTTTTGTAAATTAATTGATGCTTTTATTATTAAATTGTACTATTGATATTATTTTGTTATTGTTATATGTTTTATTGTCATATAAGTCTATCTTCTTCATATTATTTAATTCCAAAATTGGAAATGATTTTTTTTAAAAAAATACTTATATAAAATTAATTTTAAGTTTTTAAATAAATATTGATTTTAAGTTTAAATAAAATATTGATTTTAAGATTTAAATAAAATATTAATTTCAAGTTTTTATATTATTTTTTTTATTATTTTTAAAATTTGTTATATATTTACATAATTGAATAGATTGTATAACATATAATAATATAATATATATATTAGAAAATAAACAGAAGTTAATAAAATATAATATTGTTTCACTTAATATTACTTTTTTAACTTTTGGTTAAAATTATAAAATACAGAAGTTTCAATTGTAAAAATAATTTTTTAATTGCAAAAATAATTTTTAAAAAAAGATATAATGGTTTTTGTTAAGTAAAATATTTTTTGTTATATTGTTTTACTAGCTAAAATCTAATAAGTTTTTTTAAAAAATTTTTTTATTAATTTTTTTATATTATCTTTCAATATTTTACTATTGTTTTTTATTTTATACAATTGATGTTATATAAAAAATAATAAAATTTTATTAAAAAAAATAAATTTAATTTATTATTAACAAAAGATTTTTATTATCTATATTATTATAATATTTAAATAATCAATTGTTTATTTTTATTTTTATTTATTTTATAATATAATAATTTTGTTTAAAATATTTTTTATTTTTTATTTTTGTAACAAAAATAATTTTTTATGTTTTTTTATTCAAAAAATTTTTAATAATACATTTATTCAATAAGTAATAGACCAATATACAGTGTAGTGCAAAAAAGGCTAGAATTTTTTTAGATTTATATTTTTATTAATAAATTAATATAGAATTATTTCAATGTTATAAAACTTTATAAATTTGTTTTTAAGATAAAAATAAAAAAAAATGATTTTTTGTTAATTTTAATATTAATTTTAAAACTAATTTTAGATATAAAATTAATGTTTTTTTAAAAAAGATACTAAAAAAATTTTTTTAATTGTAATTTTTAAAAAATTCTTATTATTAATTTTATTAAATTAATTCATAAAATAATTTTATATAAAGATATTTATAATAGTTAAAATATGAAAAAAAAATTTTAATTTTAAATATATTTTTTATTATAAAAATATTTAAAATTTAAATAGAGTTAAAATTTTTTAATTATTTTTTGAGTAGTTTTTTATTATAAAACTTATATAAAAAAATTGTGAATTAATTTTATTTCAACTGTTAGTATATTAAAAATAAAAATTAAAAAGAATATTATTATTATATTTATATATATTATTTATAAAAAACTTATTATTAAGATATCAAAGAACTTATTTATAAAGTTTTATATGATTTGATTAATTAATTATTGAATTATAACTAAATATATAATTCTGGTTTTTTTTGTATTATACTGTATTTTTTTTTATTGATTTATTAATTTATTATTGTTATTTTGCATTATTTACACATTGTAATATGTTTTTGAAAATTTAAGTTTAATATAGAAATATAATTTATTTATATATTTTATAATTAAAATGTTTTTTTTTTTTATAACTATTTTATAAAAATATTTTTATGCAAGTTATTATTTATTTTTTAAAAAATTTGATTATATTAAATATTCTTGTTTTTTGATTATATTATATATTCTATGTATTATTAATTTTATATTAATAAATTATACAATTAAAATTGATTTTTTTTTTATTTACAATAGTTTTTTTCAATTTTAATAAATTTATTTCTACACTTTATTTAATTCAAATCATTATTTATGAAATGATAAATAAAAATATAATTTTAAATTTTCTTACACACTATATATTGTATATAATTTTAAGATAAAATGATTAAAATATTTTACAAACAATATATTTTATTTATAGATATACTGTATTGTATCGAAATAATCATAAACCATTTTTTCAAAAAATTTTCTTGTTTCTTTTAATAAAAGATTTTTCTTTAATTGATTTGATTTTACTTACATATAAATGCATATCTCGTATTGTGTATATTGGCATAAGTATTTTGATAATATATTTTATATTTTCGAAATGATTTGTAAAGGTTATATTATATGGGTTGGTACACAGCAAAACCATGCTTTGAGACAAAATCCTTATTTGGAGATATCGACGGTTATCAATATAAATTTATATATTGAGCCAATTTTTGTTAAAAACTTTCAAAGCATGGATTTGCTGTGTACCAACCCATATCTGAAATGATTATTTTTAAATTAAAAAAACAGTCAAATAAAAATAAAATTTATATTAAAAAAATTTTAATAAAAAAATTTTAACGTGAACTTTGTCAACAATCCTGTATCTATTATTTTTTATTAGACACGAATATTGTTTTAAAAAAACGATAATTTAATTTTGACAAGCAAAATTGCAATGATAAGAAAAAATATATTTATTCAATTAAAAAAAAAAGAATGTGTTTTCATAACAAAAATTAATTTATTCATTAAAATTTTCTCGTTAAATTTCTTTAATTCCACGATTAATTAAAAATATATGATGAGTGAAGTATAATCTACACACATGAATCTTTTATTTTTATTTATAAAATTATTTGCTACCAGTATATATCATTCAATTCATCCCATAATAAGGTTGATTAGCAGTGAACATAGCAATACGTCATATTGTGGAGAAACGATATGTACGTGTTAAATAGAAACTGCGCATAATTCAATTTCAATAATTGAATCATACGGCGTCGCATGCTTAATATTATCAGTGGGTTAATTAGGGCGTTTCAAATACAGTAAGATAACGTTTGTTTATGCATTTATTTTATATTTCTTTGATTGCCTTCTAATTTCGTATTTAAAAATGTCCAGAATACTTTGTATTCAAAAAATTACCCGTATATCATAGCCGTCTTTATCTTACCATTTTTGGAAAATTGGTATGACAGCCTAGACCTTTATAGTTAAAATTAGATGTTCAAAAACTCCGATGCATACTCGATCATATACGGCACAGCCGTATATACGTAACCTTTCCTAATTTCACAAATTGATCATACTGTACGTAATTGAAGAATCACACTCATCCATATAAAGGTTTAAATAGACGTCCAAAAAAACTTTCAAGCTCACTATCTTTCATTCTTTTTCCCATTTCAATTTTACACATCATAAATAAGTCTCCGAAATGCACACGCAAAATGGTTTACAGAATGAGGTTGCGGGAGACGCAGCACCACCAGAATATGATTTTGTCGATACCGAAGAGGTGGATAATGGAGAAAGTGATTATACAGAGTCACAAATAACAAGTCTTCCACCAGCTCCCGCTATCGGTTCACAAAGTCTCCGATTTCCGGCCATTCTATTGTTAGGTCCAACAGGAGTAGGAAAAAGTACATTTGGAAACTGGTTATTGGGGTTTGACGGTGATATCGGACCGTTTGTCACAGGACCCACTTCGGTACATATAATTATAAACGGCTTTTAAACCTTCATTTTCATAATACTGACGATAGTGTTAATTTCACAGGACTCCATTACAAAGATCTGCCACACGAAGTTAATCCAGATCAATGATCGTACCTTCAATGTCATTGATACTCCTGGTATTTATCATTCATTAGTTGTTAGTAATATTGTTACAGTATCTATATATCAATTCGTCTTCTCTTGATTAAGGTTTATTTGATACGAACGAGGACGTAAAAAATGAAGAATCGTTAAACAAGATCGCTGACACAATTAACCTCTGTTCATACGGGATTCAAGCAATAATATTTGTTGTTGGTAAGCTGATAAAAGTTTATTGAGTCATATGAGTTTTGACAGCTGTGGTCGTGTATATTAAAAACAAGCTATTTTTCCATGCAAACAGAAAAAAACTGTAACAGCTATTCATCAAAAACAATGACAATTATCAAAAGTTTCCTTGGTGATCAAGCGTTGGACCACATGATAGTCGCTTTTACCCATTGTAATACAAATCAAACGATGGATGACCAACAACTACAAAGAGCTCTGAACTCAAGGATGAAATCATTCCTCACCTCAGTAAACAATCGCTATATAGTCTCACCAAATCCCGATCTATTTCGTCAAGGTGATGATATAGTAAATAATAACATCGAAAAGGCAAAATATATGATCGACAGTTTCCCGGCTGCTTACACCACAGAAATGTTCAATAAAGTCAGAGAGGCTCGAGAAGCTATAGAGCAACAGCAAGAGGCTAGTCGCAATATGCTGGAAGAACAGCTGTTAACAAGGGAACAGATTAATGAATATGAGCAAGAGATCTCTAGATTAAGATCCGAAGTGGACCGAGTAGGAAGGAATGTCGCTTACAAGGAAGCAGCCGGCAAGTGTTTTAAATTGGATACCAAAGTCATACTCGAAACTGGAGAAACAATTCCGATTTCTTCGGTAGTTGTGGGCGATAAAGTTTGCGTGGATGCTAATAACGAAAGGTTGGAATTTTCGGAAGTGTACCTGATAGCGCATTATGATCCTGAGACGGAAACCGAGTTCTTGAAGATTGAATTCACTTCACCGAGGACTGGATTAACCGGTGTGTAACATACGTTTAAATTAAATAAATAATTAATGATAACTTATTGATTCCATATGAAATGTACAGAATCAGTGACACTTTCACCAGATCACCACATATTGAACAATAACATCTTTGATTTCGCGAGAAACGTGCAGCCTTATTCATCTCAACTTCGAGTGCTCGATGGGTCACAAATGGTATATGTCCGTGTTGCTAACGTAACAAAGGTACGTGGTGTATATTACGTATTACGATTTTCTGTCTTATTGCCAAACTCTTATTTCATGTCTTGTTTGCTTTATTTAGGAAACTCATAAAGGCTATATTGCAATATTTACACGTGCCGGCACTCTGGTGGCCGATAATGTGATGTGTTCATGTTACGCGTCAGTCGTGCCATATCAATATACTATAAATACAGTTTTGACTCCATTAATGATATCCACCAAGTTAAAGAAGTCAAACTATGATGGTAAGGATGCGCACCCGTATTTGGGATTTCTGTATAATAGATATCAAGACGTGAATCGAATTATTGGAAAGGTCACTGGAAAATAATTCAAAAAAATAAGTTTCACCGACAAGAGCATTAAGGACTTTCCCGTGAATTAAGCTGTAAATCTCTAAGGAATTTGTAAGGACTGAAATGGACGTATGGGGATGAGAGTTTGTGTTAAAGATTTTTTTTTTAAAAAAAAAAAGTTTTTATAAAATAAAATACAAAGCAAAAAAATTTAATAATTAATGAAAAAAGTTAACAACCTGCAAGTGTACAATAACCCGTGGTTAGCTAATTCCACGAAGGATTACGAAGGTTCCATAGAATACTGTGCGAGATACGTAAATCACTCGGTCTTCACCCTTTTTTTTATTGTAAATTTTTGCAAACTGATAATTACAAACTAAAACAATTAAATCATCACCTTTTGGTAATGAATCATTATTATTCATTACAAGACAAATTCACGATTGATATAATTTTCAAGTAATATTAAATACCGTATTACGGAAATAATTTCAATCCACTGCAAGAAGCTAATATAATATGAGATTACAAACAGGCAATGTTACATCTTTGGTAAATAAGTAACATTTATTTGCAATAATAATAAAATTAAATTTTTAAATTAATTTTATAATGAAATATAAAATTTGGTTATACAGTGATTATTAACATCATTATAAAAGTTTTATAAAAAATATCAACAATGTAATTTTAATTATTTATCAACAGATTCATTTAAATAATTTGATGATCAACATAATTTTTCTAAATCTATTTTAAAAATATGTGTTAAATAATCACATTAAAAATCTTAAAACATTTTAAATTAAAATTATGTGTTCTTATTTGATTTAACATGCTGCAATATTATTTACTATAATTAATAAATGCAATATTTAATCTTAGAAAAATTTTTAATTATTAAAATAATTATTTAATCAAATTTGTAATCACAAAAATAATATATTGAATTTTTACCTTATTATCTGACTACTTAAAACCAAAATCCCTTTATTTGAATAATTTGAACAAGCTTCATATTTTTAAATCAAATAAGAATTAAATATATTAAAACTAAAATTAATTGTTAGGAATTTTGAATTCTGGTTATTAAAGGTTGATCAGTAATTGTTTGTTCTGCAATCAAATTTAAAAAACAATCTTACAGTAATTTATGATATTTAATTTTACCTTGAATAGATTCCACTGAATTTTTTGGCCTTAGTAACATCATTAAAAGGAGGAATACCAAATAATACTTCAAACACAATAACTTCAAATCCATAAATATTTGTTGATTTTTTATTCTCCTTTTCGCATAATACTTCGGATGCTATATATAAAAGCATGTCATGCGAGTTTCACTTTTAACTTTGCTTTCATATCAGTAAATGGGTGGACAGTCTATTATATAAATTAATTTTTCTTCTTTTTCACTAGTTTTCTATTGCATTCCAGTAAAGGATAAATTTTTCAATTTATTCTGCCAAGTATATTTTGCTAAATCCACCTTTGGCAACAAACTTCATACCCTTCAATTTTGAATGTACAGTAGAATCCACTCGAAATTCTATATTGATAGTTGTCATTTTCTGCAATTTTTTATAAATGCATCAATGATATCTTTCTACTTTCTGATTATCAAATTAATGCTGAAAACGAAAAGAACTATTATTCAGTTGTTGTTTTCTTACCAAACTGGCTACATTCATCTCCTATATATTTAAATTAAATTTTTTTGAAGTACAATAAATAATAAAAAATTTTTGAATTTGACTTACCACCTATGATAGAAAGAATAAAAATTCATTCTACTGTATATTATTTTATTATACCAATAGTCAGATTCAACTTACCTACTACAGTATAATAGTTGACTATTAATATCATTCTATATGATTTTGCAAACAAATATGAAATGGTCTAGATTCAACTTATTTACTATAAGGTTAATTAATGATATAATTAAATTTCACTTCTTATTGTTTTATAAATACAGTATATCTTGATAGGATTCAATTAAAAATATAATAAAACTCTTTTTCACACACAGAAAAATTGGAAAAAATTGCCTTTTTAGAAAATTTTTGAGAAAATCAAAAAAGAAAGCAAAGGGACAATAGGAGTCAGCCAAATGTCAACATCAAGTGTAGGAAAGGGAAGAGGAACAGAAAGAAAAACAATAACTGCCACTAGAGAAGCTAGAATCAAAGCAACCACCCTTATTAAAAAAGAACCAGACAGACCTAAAAGCCTGGACAAGGGAAAACTGAAGAGAACGCAGGTGCGAGCAACAAGCATGGACCTAGGAGAAAGAGAAGTAGAAGTAACTGGAGGAAAAAAGATAGAAGAGCAAGAGCAAGAGCAAGACACAGAAATGCAAAAGAAGAAATAGCCAAAACCAAACGAAGAGAAAATAGGGACAACAGGAACAGACATCAGAGGAGAAGAAAGCAGAGAGCATAAAGAAAAGACAAAAGAGAATAAAAGAGTGGAAGGCAAGCCAAAAGAAGTAGGAAAGAAATCAAGATACACATGTGAACTAGAGCTACCGGCCAACAGGGAATCAACAGAAAGAGCAGATATCGTAGAAGAAACATATATTGCTTTTGAATCCTTCTTGGGGGTAAGAGTAGAAAGAGGAACTATGGAAGGAAAAAAGATCATTGCTAACTTTGAAAATCTAATTGACATGCAAGAGGCATGTGAAATCAATTTTGGTACAAACGACAACAGGGAGCACCTAGCCCCTATAGAACTGAAACAACACCAATCAGAAGAAAAAAACAAAGTAATCGTCAGGGATATCCCACTCTCAGCAAGTGAAAGAGCAACCCTGAAAAAATTTGGAGACATCCATATCATGGATATCTGCCCAGTGGAAATATGGCAGACAGTGATAGTAACTTTTAATGAAGAGAAAGATGCCCAACTATTGGCCAAAATGTGATCAATCCCATTTGAAAAAGAGTACCTGAGAATTCTTTCAAAGTGGGAGAAGAAAGAGGAATTGAAAAGAAGATCAAGATATGTACTAAAATTGGCAGGTTTGCCAGCAAGCACCATGGCTTATAACCTAGAAGAGATAATAAAAGAAACAAACAGAAAAACTCTATACATTTCAAGAACAGGCAGATATTTTAGGAAAAGATTTGCATATGTGGCTTTTGAAACAGAGGATCAATTAAAAGCAGCCAAAACCCAAACCTTTAAATTGAACAGGATGATGATCAAATTTGAAGACCAATTTGAGAAACTGTGTTACAAGTGTAGACAGAGTGGACATATCACCTTTAAATATGAGGAGGTAAGAGTGCAAAGAGACAAAATACTAGCTTAAGCAAGGTTTGCATCAATCCAGTCAAGGTTTAGAAAAGGACCAGAAAAAAAAGCTCCTATTTCTTACGCAGAAATTCTGAGGAAGAGAAGCAGATCGAGAACAGTCTATAACAAAGAGAGAAGAGGAGAACAAGAAGGAATAAGAGAAAGACTAGACAAGTTAGAAGAATTAATTAAAAATATGGAAACAAAAATTAATGTATTATGAAATTGATGGAATAAGCTGCAGGAAGAGCAGGAGAACCAATAAACCAACAATAAGAGTATAGATAAACAACAAATGCAATATCAAGATACAGAAGAAATGAACAGGAAAGAGAAAAAAACCCCTCTGGCAATATACAAGGCAATCAACAAGGAGGCAGCGGAAAGACAAGACAAACTAGAAAGGCAAATGAAACAGATAGAAAAAATGCTAAGCAAACTTTTGAAAAATGGTTAGCTACCACCTAGTAAAAAGAGGCAACAACATGAAAGACAGTAGGAAATGCGAGGCCCAATAACAAATTCAAACAAGTATGACAACACACTATAAGGATAAATATAATAATTCAAAAAATATCAACATGTACAAAGAAAAAAAAACAGACACAGAAAACATCAAAATTACGACAATAAACATAAATGGCTTGAATGAAGAGTTTAAGAAACCGCAATTACAACATTACTATCACAAAAACAATATAAATATAATAGGGATATCTGATACAAAATTCAAAACAACAACTAACAGGGAAACAATGAGAGACAAAAAATACAAGACTTACTAGGCAAACACCAAAAAACAATCTGGAAGAGTGGAACTAATCGTTCAAAGAGACTAAGCCAAACACATAGGAAAAATAATAAGATGGCAGGGAAGAATTTTGGCCATGGAACTAATCTTTAAAGAGAGATGGAAAATAGGAGTGATACAGGTATATGTACCACTACAATTAGATCAGGAAAGAAAAGAGATGATAGCAGAAATGAGAAAAATCATAACAGAATGGAGAAAAAAACAAGTAATGGAAATAATAGTAATGGGAGATATAAATATGACAATAAAGGACAATATGGATAGAACAGGGGTAAACGAACCAAAGGAAAAGAAGAAATGGATTGAAATGCTTAGGGAATTCGATCTATATGATACCTTCAGACAACATAACAAGAGTACAAGTGAATACACATGGGCAAAGAATCAAAAAGCAGAATAGACATAATATGGCTCTCAGAAAACTTGAGAGAACTATGCAAAGCCTAATCTATAACAGATATTAAACAATGTTTGAATACAGACCACAAGGCGGTGAACATAGAGATAGACTTGTATATAATTACAAAAGGAATCAAAAGATTCAGAACAACAAGTGAAAGGAAAGTCTATAATTACAAACAGATGACTGAAAACAAATGGGAGAAATGGAGGAAAGAAATCGAATATATAAAGGCTGCATGCAGAAATAAAGAGCAACTAGAAAATAATGAAGGGGAAAAAGAAATAGAAGATTCAAGTAGTAGATGGGAGGAACTAAAAGAATGCTGGAGGGAAGCAGCAGAAAGATGCATCCCAAAAAAGACCCTCAAAACAGAGGTGCAAGATTTCAGTAAAAGGATAAAGACAGCACAATTTACAGCTTTCAGGAAACTAAACAAGGTCATAAGGATTACAAGAGAAATGAAAGAAACGTATAATACCAGGAACAGAGAAAAAATGATGGAAAAAAGAGTC